GTCTAATATGCTATAATTATCACATATTAAAACATATTATGGTACATTCTTGCTCTGGACGGGTTTAGGCTTCGCAAGTCGCAAGTAGTTTCTACAGGTTTTACGTCAGATGATGGGGCCAGTTGAGCTGTCATTCTTGAGGCAGCGTTAACGTCTTTAGTGAAACAGGACAACCCCGTAGGGCAGAGCTGCTTCTCTTACAAGTTTGTCAGTAGGAGAAATTCAAAGCTGAACTGGTGATTCAATGAAGTTCGAGCAGTGCTACCGGCTGTTTTTGAAACAACACTGCCTTAATCGCCAGTGTGCTCCTACTAACTGTCTGAATTAGACGGCGGCAGCTCCCACTGCGCAAAGACTCCCACGGTCCAAGGGGCTTAGGTTTTAGGGTTCGGGGTTTAGGGTGTGGGGTTTATGCATGTTTCAGGTTCCAGGGTTCTTACTTTCTTCGTCGCCGATGCGCTGTGCACCATGTCAGACATGATGCCTGGAGCGTCTTTAAACTTGCTTCGCAGGGAGGTGCCTTAAGTTGACGGTAGATACTGTTGTAAGTTGCCGAAAGCTTTTTTGGAGCCACTTAAGAGATCCCTACTCAGAACGACCCATGAGCCACCCAGCATGGCATTGTTGCTTTGCACGGCAGGTGTTTGGGAATCCCGGCAGTTCGGGAAGCGCTGTCTTCCGCTATTCGTCCAAGCAGTCGAGATACGAGGTGGGGAAGGGGCCACGTACTTTGTTCAAGAGGACAGCTGGTGGGGGTAAGGAGCCTGGAAGAAGGACCAAGTAAGACTCTTGCAGTAAGACCCAAGGAAGGATGAAGAAAGGTACACACCGCTAGGGGTCCTTCGGATTCGTGAGCCAACGCCGTCCACCGCAGTAGGGTCTGCGCGACTCGAAGGTGATTGCGATTCATTCCCTCACGGATTCACGTGGCAGCCTGACGGACGTGGGCCTGGCTCTCACGATCACGATCGCCTTGCATGTGCGGAGGGCGCGACGTGCAAGAGGGCAGACTTTTTGAAAGATGGGCTGCTGAGGCAAAGGTTGTTTCTTGCGGCTGGCCATCCAAGCGCCAGAGATTCACAAGTTCTTGAGGCAGGAGTCTGAGGGAGTGGGTTGTTCTCAATTCGGATCACCCTGTAGGGACGCCGCAGTTCTTGAAAGCCGCCAGCAGCTGTGACGAAAATGATGCCCATGGTGTATCATCTCTTGAATCCCAGCACCAAAGCCCAAGATGCCGGAATGGAGAAGTCCTTCGCATTTCCTTGATCAATTGAAGCGGTTCCCGCGGGGGGGAAGGTTCAGGATTACTTTTAAGTAATTAGGGTTGGAAGTAGGGAGCTATGGTTGTAACCTTATTCAGGGTACTTCTAACCCTGCTTATAAGTACCCATGAACCTCCAAATAAGACCCCTAAACCCTAAGCCCTCAAAAACCCCAAAACACCCCCTCCGAAGTTTGTCTTTGGGGGCTTCCTTTGGAGCTCGGAGGCTGCACAAGCTGGAGGGCCTTCTCGGGCTCAGAGCTCAGTGCAAAGCTCGGCCAACATCATCGCGCGCGCGAGAGGGCCCTAAACCCCGAACTCTAAACCCTCAACCCTCTACCCTGCACCCCACACGCTCAACCCAAAACCCGAAATTCTTGCTTGCAGCAGGCTGGAGACCGGCCAAAGCAACGAAAGCAACGAAAGCAAGGCCTCCCTGCCGGGCGTCGTCTAAATCATGGTCCCCCTTTCGTGGGGTCCCTGAGATAGTCGCATTTAGGGTGTAGGTTTAAGGTTTAGGTTTTTTTCGGGGTTTAGGGGGCGAGAAGCAACTTAGGGAGCTGAACCTGAGCCGTTGGGTTTGGGGTTCTAGGATTTAGTTGATGTCGGCGGGCTGGGACGAAGAAACACCAGGGGGGGGGGGGTTCTCTTTTTGAGAACCACCGGCTTCGGGGGCCGGTTTAGTAGGGTTTAGGGTTTAGGGTTTGGGGTTTAGGGTTTAGGGTTTAGGGTTTAGGGGATGAGAGACCCCAAGCAAGTCCATGGTTTAGGCCATGTTGGTCGTGCACTCTTGGCTTCACATGTCCCTTTCGCTACAGGAAACAGCCCAATGCATCAGAAGTAGCCTCCCCAGCTTTGGCAAGGCCCACCCTGAATGATGGGTGGCTTTCATCGAGAAGGCGCTCGAACGCCCTTGAAAAGAGTGCAATGCGGCTGAAAGATTCCAGAAGCAGTCTGCATTGTGCCTCCGTCTGAGCGTGCAATGTTTTGCCGGGACCTGCTGGCTCGAGCTGAGCATGAGCACGTCACCATGCGTCGCACATGCATGTGTGCAAAGCACCGAGAGTGCCCACGCGGGAGGCAACAAGAGTGCAGCTACCAGTCTTGGCAAACTGCAGCCTGCAGGAAGAGTCGAAATAGAGCTGGCTGCATGGCGACCCAGGCGCAGGATGACTATTGTCCGAGCGCCAGCTTCCCAGCTTCTCCTGTGGTCGTGCCCTGATTGCTCCAGCACAAGTTGACCAGCAGCTGCAACTCCAGGGTGGCGAGGGTGTCGAGGGCGTGTCAGCTACCTCAGGTCTGGTACGGCCAGGTGAAGTGTGGCATGCTCATCTGCTGGGTTCTCCTGACAGGCCGCTGGGTGAGGCAAACCTTCTTCGTGGGCAGAAGGGCCCCTAAACCCCAAGCCCACAACCCACAAAGACTTCGCAGCCTTGAGCCGTAGATGCTGATGGTGTCGAACATCTTGTGGCCATCCTCCACGTAGACAACCCGTGTTAAAATCTACGGTTCAGGGTGCGGGGTCTGTCTTGAGCTACTTAGCCTGCAAAAGTGTACAGTGCACCCATATAAATGCATTCTCGTGTAGGGTACATATGAGACAGGGCAGTGGGATTGAGGCGTCATTGTTCTAAGATGCCTTCTACCCAATCCCATGGGTTTCGGAGGACTGGACTTCTGGATGTGGCATTGGAACCAGTCGCCGGCCTGGCTGCTGGCATGCCTGGCAGGAGCCCGAGCTACCCCCCAACAAAAATTAGGTCTCCTCTCCTCCCCCTCCAGAAAAAGCCCAGAAGCTTGTTTTTTTTTTGAACGTCTCTGAAGGCGCAAGCCCGAATCCCTACAAACCCTATAAACAGCATAAATAGCAGCCTGTAAGCCTTGCGGCGAGGTGGTGACGAACGGATGGGGTTGGCTTGATGCCGTCCTGTCCCGGGCCGAGCGCATGGCTTCTCAAATTTCTGAAAGCACCCTAAATCCTAAACCCTAAACCCTAAACCCTAAACCCTAAACCACAGCTGGAAGCGCCCTGAAGCCACCCTTCAGGCGGTATCCTGTCTTGCACGAGATTGACAGCCCGTTTGCACTGAAGAATCTGCTCCTGATTGTTGGGGCCTTGGCGTGCGTCGTGCGTTGAGGTGTACTGTAGGGTTTGGAAGTAGTTGGAGTGTAAGTAGAGCTCAGGGTTCAGGGTTCAGGGTTCAGAGTTTAGAGTTAATCATCACCACTGGCCTCACTTCCGAATCGAAGCGCCGCGCCAGTTGCTGAAGATCTGTTGGCTCATCCTGGTGTTCCTGCCGCACTGGCCTGTTTCGTCTGCGAGCCCACCCTGGAAGTTGGCGCCGCGCCTTCGGACACGTCAGGAGAAATAAGTCCCACCCGGTATCCTTCGTTGCGCGCGGCTTACATCGGCTTACTGCTCCCTCCTGGCCAGCTGTCTTCGGTGTGCCGGCTCATGTGCTTTAGATTCCTAAGTTATGTTCGATGCTTGCCATCATCGTGCCTGCAGCTCAGTGGGTCTCCAGCAGTAAGGCAGAAGGGGTGCGCACACCTAGCAGACCTAGCACGGTCCAGACAGCCACAGGCCGATGTTTTATGCAATGCTGCTGCCACTGGACGAGACGGAGCAGGTGCAGCTTGGTGTTTTAAGTCTTAGGTCGGTCTTCGCGATCTGCCATGCGCGCGGTGTAGGCACCTCACGATCATGCCTTTCGAGAGCAATCCTCTGCTGTGCAAGGTGTACAACCTGATCAAGTCCATGTACTACGACGAGGACATCGTTGTGCGCTGCGGGCTCAGCCGTGAGAGCTCCAAGAAAATTGTGGTTTACGATATGAGGGGTGCCTGATTATTATTGGGGTCCTTATTAAAACAGGAGTCCTATTGGGGGGTCAATATCGGGGTAAATCCCCAATTTTATCTTTCGTCTGGGGATGCTACGGCGTAGTACGGAGTTGACGGCTGTACGGTGCACGTCGATGTTTGAGCAGCAGCGTTGTCCAAGGCTGCTGGCGATTCCTAAGGAATCCCCGGCAAACGATGCAGGCGGGCAGAAGAGCAGCCCGGAAACATCCGGAAGCTGATAGCTGGTACAAGTTGGGAGGTTGCCCCCCTTATCCTAACAGTCCTTAATGGGGAGTAGAATAAGGGGGTACTGTAATAATAAATAATAAAAATATTGATTTAAAACCTGGAATAATTACGTTCTCAAATTATTATGCATCCAATAATAATCCCTATGAGGGACTGTACCAGTCACAGCTGCGGACTCTGCTGCAAGTCTGCTGCAGGCCTGGAACAGGCGGCGCCACAAAATCATCAAGCGAGGCCAGCCCTTCAAAATCCCTCAAAATCCCTCCCAAACATCCCCAAAGCATATGAACCCTCCAGACCTTGTACTTTTTTTTTGTTCTTTTGGTTTCTTTCCTGGTATTTTTTTTCTCACTTCCTTGGCTGCGAAAGGCTGTGAGGAGATCGCCGAACGATCGCCGACCTTTGCCGCCAAGCTGGGAGAGCCCACATCCGAGAGATCACCTCTCCATGCCATGTGGGCCCCATGTATGTACGCATCATGATGTCAAGCCCCCCCAGAGAATCCCATGGGTACCATCTCGGAAGAGAATCGCTGTGAACACTGAGCTGTGTCCGCTGCAGCCGCTCTTTCCGTCACTGACAGCGATCTGCAAGGCTGAGCCCGACGCGAAGAGCGATGCTTCGCAAGCCTGGAAGAACTGTGTGAGAAAAAAGTTGTTCTGTGGAGCGCCAGATGCTTTCAACATCAACTGGGTTGTAAATTCACAAGCAGCTGTCGCTAGCATTCCTGCTTTGTTTTGATGTCAGTGAGCACTGCTATTGGCCTCCACGCGCGCCATAATTCCAAATGCAGCCTTGTTGTGGACAAATCAGTGCCTTCTAAGCTACCTTCTGCAGCGCGTTCCGACTGATCACTGGCGAGCACACCGGGCTTCAAGCGGCCGCCTATCGCTTGCAGCCGCACGAGCACCGCGTCGCGCTTTGGACTGGACAACGCCATAGTCCGACACCACAGAGGTTTACTTGGATGTGTCCACGGCCGCTGCGAGATACTGTTGAACTACTCGCCGACATCGCCAATGCGGCGGGGAGCAAGCCACATAAGCTTGGCTCTGCTGAAAGCTAATCGCCTGTGGGCACCCAGTGGTTCTGAACGTGCAGGGTTTACCAACCCATGCCTGGCGCCAGGATGATCGTCGCATCGAGGTCATCGCCAACAGCCTCCCGCTCTGCATGGCTGTTGACACAACCCTTATGTCCTCCCTGACGGCAGCCGGCGCCTCCCCATCGCACGCGCGACTGCACAGCTGATGCAGTGTTGCATTTCGCTCGCCGGGCCAAGGACCGGACGTTCCCAGAGCTCTGCGGATCAGCCCACTGCCACCTGACAGTCCGTGCTCTCAGGTCGGCTCTGGAGTCCTGAGGCCGCTGGTTCATCCGCCACCTTGCCCGATGCCCGGCACCTGCAGCTGTCAGGGCCGCTGCCTGCTTCGCCGGTCCGCCCTCTTGTCGTTTTGCCCCGGGGCGCCGCTTCCTCGCACTCCCCCTTGCGAATCTGGAAACGTCGAGGAGACATCCCACTCCGCAGCGATGTCCTTACTGATTGTCCCCTCACGAGCCGCATGCATGCAGTGATAGAGCCACTGCCCGGTGCTCTTCCCGCTCTGTGCCGTGTGTGGAGCTGAGACTGCGCTGGAAGTGGGAAAAGGGCCCATGAATCCGGCGGAGACCGATGGTCGATCCCGATGCCCATATGTCCAGCCTTCTGGCAGCCGTGCTTCATGCCAAGCCGGTGGCTCCGGGGAAGCACAGTGGCGAATGGCCCCTGTTTCTTGAAGATACGACCCATGGGCAACAGTCCCCTTGACCGCCTGGACCTCAGGTGGAAACATAAACAGGATGCGGGTCATCAGGATGAAGGACGGAACACCGCTCACAGGCACGGTGCGCGGTCAGTGTCGTCAAGCAGGGGTCGAGGGCACAGGGATGCGTGCAGGAACCGCGCGGGCCCAACGATGTTCTTGGTTGTACATCCCGCTACTGCACGCTGCCGCGGCTTTCGATGTGTTTGGAAATCCTCTGATGGCCCCGCCACTTTACGTGGTACATCACAGAAGAATTCTGCAGGGAGCCGCAGGCATGAATTGTGAGCTTGATATGTTAGCGTTGGGATTGCCATTGCTTAACAGCGCAGCGTGACATCAACCAACGCGGGACAGTTGACCGCAGCCGTCGCATCAGCTTGGCGGGCTCTCGCGCCGTGAGCACTGGGCTTCAATAGTCGCGGCGCTGCGTGACCCGACAGACCCGCATGCGTTGGCCCGCCTCATCCGCGCCATCGTAGAGCAAGATGCTCCTCACTCGGGTTTAGTATTAGGCCACCCCCACGGACGACAGCCACTGCCGGGAGCGCGCATCACCGCGGCTACGCAGGCAGCGCCGCTCGAGAGGAACGGTGGCGTGCGATGCGCGTCCGTGGCGCGTGCCTTGGCTTTTGATTTGCAGGCATCTTTCTGTCGCGATGGCGCCGCCGCCAGCGGTCCACTTGCGCCAGCACTCCCTGCATGTCGCATCACGCCATGAGCTGCGCCACCCCGTGCCCACGATGCAGGAATTCCCGCCCTTGCGCGGAGCGCTCGTGCAAGCGCATGCAAGCGCTGCAGGCCGTCGCAGGCCCCACCGTGTCCCGAGCGTGGAAACCGTTCCTGCAAGCGCCGCGCGTGCACGGGCGCGAGGGCCAGCAGCTACGTCCAGCGAGGAGCGTAGTTGTCACTCCTGCAGCAGGCCCGTGCCGGCCGTGCTTCGCCGCCGACACGACGCGTGCGCCAAGATACGCCACGGGGAGGTCTCTCGCGCTCGCCATGTTCTGACCTCCGCCGCGCTCGTGCCGGGCGACAAGTCGAGGTGGTTTACTTCATAAAAATCATGGGGGTTTCTGGCTGGAGCACAGGATGGGGGGAAGGAATCCCCGTTTTGGCTTTTTGGGGGGTTGTGAAAACGTGACAAACGCCATTCCCCCGCAAGGCTTCGCAGAAAACGTGCAGAAAACGCGGGGGAAGTACCGTTTTAGCGGCTTGTGGGCCCGCCAGCTACTGTACTCTTCGACCGATCACGAGGAGCGGCGTGCCGCTCACCTTGCTTTCTGCCCGGCGTCCGCGCCAGGAGCGCCGGCAACCGCCCCCACCGCAGCCCCGTGCGAACCCGCCCAAGTCCCGTCGGCGTCGCGCACGCCGCGGCCAAAACAGACAGAGGACCCAGCCACCCTTTCCCTGCCTGGGCTGTGCGCGACCGACTGGATACCCCACCAACCAGCACTAGCCCTTTAGGCAGGGCACCGCCGTTCACTCGCCCTTCGGGGCTCAGGGGGCCACCTCACGGCAGCCGCGGCCCCAGACATTTGCCGGGCTTCAGCTTTGTTCGTGCATTTCGTGTGGCGCGCGCCGCCGTGCAGCCCCGAACTATACAAAGTATTTCCGAAGCATCACTGCCGTTTCGTCGGGCTGGACACTGGCCGCTGGCCGTGCGCAGGCTTCGTGTGGGTTGTGGTGCGCACCTGGTGTTCGGGTGTTTCTGGTTGAGGGCCTGGTCCAGGATGAGGCCGGGCGTGCTGTCGGCTCCAGGGCGGGCGCTACCGTCACGTCTGACCGGGCTGACAAATGTCGCGTCAGAGAGGAATGCCCAGAAACCGCGACTTGGGCGCGGCGAGTATGGCCGTGCGGATGATGGTGTCGTAAGCGCTGCGCCCATCCGGAGAGACGACCTTGGCCCGCGGGTCGAGTTCAACAGCTGCACGAAACATCGCCGCCAAGCTGTTAGCACTGGCGCGAGTCTGCAGCGCGAGCTGAAACGGCCGGGTGGCTGCATCAAGCTCCCCACTGAATGCGCGTGCAGTGCCGAGGCGCCGAAACACGTCCCCTGTGCCGATGCCTTTGACACCTCCGTTAGGTTTCCAGAGGGCGGTCGGCCGCGAAAAGGCCATGGCATCTAGCGCTACCTGCGGGGCCTGCGCACGGGCGGCGACGTTCACTGCGTAAGTAAAGGCTTCGAGCGTCGCCGCATCATCCAGGAGCAGCTCAGGCCTCCCCGACCTGGTGCGTCGACAGAAGGACCTCCTCGGCAGGCGTGAACTGCAGAACCTCGGGGGCTGTCGCGCGCAGCAGGTGCGGCGGGCGCCTCGCCGGGTCTGTCAGCGCCTCAAGCGTTTCGGCATTGCCGGGGGCGAGGGCCTCCGAGGCTAGTCGAGTGCAGCCCAGGCAGGGCAAGGGCGGCTCTGTTTTGGCGGGGATCACAACGGCGGGACGAAAACCTGACGGGGTTGAAGCGAAACGGGGATGAAGATGAAACGAGCATGGCACGGGGATCACAACGAGACGGAGCGAAAACGAAACGGACCACTGTGGTATCGCGTCCAACATGGGCAAGACACAGGCGATTGGAGCCAGGGACAGGCCTCCACCGCCAGGCATAGCCGAGCTAGTAGACGACGTGTGGCGAGGCGACCTGTGCCCTGAACAACGTGGCATCGTGGTGCTTGGCACGCCAACAGGCCACCAGGATTTCGCCCGGCGCCTTGAGGAGGAAGAGCGGTTGCCCAGCCAGCTACCCAAACTCCCAGACTTGCAGTGTTCCTGGTTGTTGATGCTGCTGTGCGCGTCCCCCGCGCGCAAACCATGCTTTGCGCACGGTTCCGCCATTTGAAATCCGGGCTTATGCACGAACCCACGACCAGGCCGTGTGGCGCACCCTCACACAGTGCCTGGGGGGCGCCGCCGAAGCAGAAGCGCCGCATGCGAAGAAATTCGCGACGCTGCCGGCGCATTTGGGTGGCCTGGGGCTGCAATCGGCGGAGCGCGCGAGCCCAGCAGCGTACTGGGCGGTTCTTGGGCGGATGCTTTGCCAGTCATCCATGCTCGACCCCCCGCTTTCGCCGAAAGCTACCGAGCAGAGCTTGAAAGTGGTGGAGGCGACGCCCCTAACCTGCGCGCCGCTGCTGAGTGATGTGAGCTGCTGCAGGAACAAGGCTGGGAGGCCTGCCCGAGCTGGCGAGCCATCCTCGAAGGAGCCGGCGCGGCCCCGCCACAGCACGCCGGCCCCGGAGACTGGCCGCATGGTTGGCAGTTTTACGCACCGCGCACACGAAACCAACACTTTCGCGACAGCGTGCTCCTGCCAGCCATGATGCCAAGCGCCCGGGTCCTTTTCCGCTCGCAGTCGGGACCTCGCGCAGGGTCATGGCTCACCGCCATACCATGGTCGCGCCACAAGCCATGCGGCTCGCGCTGCGTCGCCGCCTGCGCATGCTTCTCCCCATCAGCCACGGCCGATGCGGACCGACACACGGATGTGGGGGGCAAGTTGACCAGTTCGGTGATCACGCTCTCGCTGGCCCGCGCACCGGACTTCTCGCGCGGAGAGCTAAAACTCTCGAACGAGTTAAGATTCTCCGCGTAGGCGAGAAGCCGTGGGAGCCGAAGGCCGAACAAGTGGCTGGCCCAGGACAGCAGAGCGAAGCAAAGCCACGACCTACCCGTAACTCCGGGGAAAAGGGCCGCAAAGACTCCTCGTGCTCGGCAGCGAGGTTGGCGGACGCGTCAATGCGGACGCGCACAGCTTGCTCCGGGACCTTGTTCGGGTGCGGGCGTGCAGAGTGCGGCGCTGCGTGCTGCTGCAGCCTCAGGGTGGACGCAACGATGGTGGAGTATGCCA